AATTGTATTATAATGTGTTTAGGTGTGGATCTCTTTGAGTTTATCCTACCTGGAGACTTTGTTAAACTTCTTGAATGTGTAGATTAATGTTTTTCATCAAATTGGGGATGTTTGTAGTCAGTTTTTCAAATATTCTTTCCTGTTTTTCCTTTCCTTCTGGTACTCCTATGATGCATAAATTGGTATGCTTGATGTGGTCCCAGAAGTCTTAGAGACTCTGTTCATTTCTTTTCATTCCTTTTCCCTTTTATTCCTCTATTTGGATAATCTCAATTGACCTATCTTCTTCAGGTTTGCAGATTCTTTCTTTTGTCAAATCAAATCTGCTGCTGAGTCCTCTAGTGAATTTTAAATTTTAGTTATTATATTTAAATTCCATAATTTCTATTTGATTTTTTTAAAAGTTGGTCCTGTGTCGTTATTGTTATTTTCTGTTTTGTGAGACATTGCTCTCATGCTTTCCTTTAGTTCTTTCAGCATGTTTCCTTTAGTTCTCTGAACATATTTAAAGTAGCTGATTTAATTTTTTTTCTAGTAAATGTAACATATAGTCTTCCTCAGGAAAAGTTTCTATTAACTGTTTTCTTTTCCTGTGTATGATCTATAGTTTCTTGGGTTTGTTTTCTTTTTTACATGTTCATAATTTCTTTAAAAAACTGGACATTTAAAATAATATACAATGTGTAAACCATGTATTTAAAATGTAATGAATGTAATATGGCAACTGTAGATACGAGATTCTTCCTTCTCCACAAGGTTTATTTCTTGATGCTTTTTGTTTTTGTTGTTTCTGTTGTTGTTGCTGCTATTTGTTTGTTTAGTGACTTATGTTCTAATTCTTTAAGGTCTGTATTTGTTGTGTGTGATCATTGAAGCCTTTATTTGGTTAGCTTAGTGGGGATCAGCTAATGATTTTTCATTGATGCCTGCACAACCAATGAATCTTCCAGACTTTGCTGAGATGCTCTTTGTGCATGTTGAGGCATGCCCTCAATGCATAGGCAGGCAGTTTACAAATCTGCCTATTGACATGTAAATAAATATTCACTGCTTGATTGTGCAAAGCCAAAAAGTCAGCCAGAGGTGAGAGTTTAGGACCTTCTCAAGTCTTTCCTCAGCATAAGCACAGCACTACCCCTGTGTGTAGCATTCTAGAGTCCCAGGAACATGTCAAAACTTTTCAAAGCACCTATGTATGTCTCCTTTCCTGGATTTTCCTTTTAAATTTTTTTGTCTATTTGTTGTGCATTCCAAGTGTTATCTTTGCTTCAGGTCATTGTAATTATGAACAATCATCAGTAATTTTCTTCAGAAGATGCCTCTGAGGAAAAATGCTGTTCTCACTAGATGAACTCTGTGTCAGGTTAAATAAAGATTAGTGAGTGGAGTTTTCTAGAGAACCACCAGACAGGTCAGTTAATAACAATTCTCTAGAAATAGGGGTTTGGAGGTGTTCCAACTCCATTTTAACTCCTAGTGGCTGCTATGCCATTGATTGTAGGGTCATTGGTTTTCAAGGCTCTTATAGATCTGGGGAGAGGGCAAATTAAAACAACACAAAGCTTCCATACTTTACCTAGACTTGTCTGTTTTTCTCTATAAATACCCTGGATTGCTGTAAGTCTTTGGTTAATTTTCAGAACTTGAAAAAATTGATTGTGACAGTGCTTTCCAGTGTTCTCACTTGCTTTTATAGAGGAAAGGATTTTTGGAGGTTCTTACTAATTTCATTCCTGCTGATGTCATTCCTCTCTTATTCTTGGAAGTTATTTTTGCTGGGTATAGTAATCTAGGTTGGCATTTTTCTTTTAAGCACATTGAAGATATCATTTCATTGACTTTTGGCTTCAAATACTGCTTTTGAGAAGGCTGCTGCCACTTTAAGATTTTTTTCTGATTACTTTGGGTTACTTTACTATCATAGGTGTGGATTTATCCATTGTGCAATTTTTTTTTTGTAATTGTGCAATTCAGTGGGATTATTGATTTGTATATTTGTTTCTTCTTCAGATCTGGAACATCATCAGGTATTAGCTCTTTAAAATATAGTCTTTGCCCCTTTATTTCTCTCTTCTTTCTGGAATGTACTATGGCTTCTCACTTTATCTTCTATTTTTCATAACCTTTCATTTATACTTCCCATTTTTTAAACTCCTGGCTGCATTCTAGTTACTTTACCTGATCTTTTTTCTCTTTCTCTTTTTAAAAAATTTTTTTCAAGCTGTTCAGTCTTCTGTCAAACATACCAATTTAGTTATGTATTTTTGTTCATATATTTTAATGAATATCTAGAACTTTCACTGGGATCTTTAAAAATCTCCTCTTTCTTGCAGATGTTTTCAAGCTTGACTTTATTTGTTTAAATATAGTAAACATAATTGTTTTATAGTCTGTGTGTCATAATGTCAAATTATGTAGTATGCATGTGTCTATTTCTATTATCTATTTTTTCTGCTGGTTCTCATAATGCTATGTTTCCTTTCATGCCTGGTTATCTTTGTGTGCTGCTCATTATCCTTGAAAAATTACTTGTGAAGATTCCTTCAGTACCTAGAATAAAGTTAGATTCCTCTAGAAGAAATTTTCATTTGCTTCTACAAGATTCTTATGTGCATTACCAATTTTGAAACATTTTAAATTATATTAATAGATTGAGGTTTCTTTCATCATCCTATAAGCAACTTTTATTAATAAATTCATACAAAATTAAGTTTTTTACAACTTTCTGAGATAAGACTTTTTTCTCTTCTCTTTGTCTTCCCCTCCCTTTTCTTCTCCTTATACTTTATTTGCTTGATGCTAAGGCAACTCTCCTGTACAAGGTGGGTTACTTTTGGTTCAACTTTACCTGAGAGATTAACTCTTCTGAATTCCATTTAATATAGTGTGACTTTTATTAGACTCCCTAATTTGGCAAGCCCTAACTTTGAATTCCATATCTCTTAAATCAGAGTCTAGCAAAGCCATAGTTTAATTTTGCTTCATTTACCAGATGCCCCCCAGGGTAAAGAAGGCTTTTTGTTCTCAGTTTACTTCTTGGTTCTGTGTCTCTCTTAGAATGACTTTGGCTTCATAATTTGTTATTATCTTTTCAGGTCATTAATACTTTTAAGAAGATTTAGAAATATTTTATTTAGGATTGTTAGTTTTTAATAGGAGGGTTTGTTCAAATAACATAGCTTATCATTTTCAGGAATGGAAGTTTTCCTGTTAGAAAGTTTCTTGCATTCACACCTGTGTTAGTTAATTTTATGTGTGTCAACTTGGCTAGGTTATGGTACCCAGATATTTGGTCAAACACCAGTCTAGATAACATTGTGAAGGTATTTTTATGGATGTGATTAGCATTTAAATCAATAGACTTTGAGTAAAGCAGATTACTCCCCATAATGTGGGTGGGCCTCATCTAATCAGTTGAAGACCTTAAGAGCAAAAGAGGATTCCCCAAGAAAGGAGGGATTCTGCTTCCAGACTGGTGTTGGACTTGAGCTGCAATATCAGTTCTTCTCTGGGTCTCCAGCCTGCTAGCCTATCATAAAGATTTTGGCCCCCACAATTGTGTGAGCCAATTCCTTAAAATAAACCTTTTCTGCCTCGTGTGTGTGTGTGTGTGTGTGTGTGTGTGTGTGTGTATGTATGTAACTCTTTCACATATCTTTATCCCTCACTCCCCACACTCCCTCCCTACATATGTAAACACACACATGCACACACACACATTCTATTATTTCTGTTTCTCTGGAGAATGCTTATTAATATCTTACCTGTAAGAATGGCTAAAATGAAAAATAGTGATAACACCAAATGCTGGCAGAAAATTGGAAAAAGTGGATTACTCATACATTGCCAATGGGAATGTGAAATGATACAGCCATTCTGGAAAATAGTTTGGCAGTTTCTTTTATGACTAAAAATGGACTGAGTATTCATTCAACCCAGCTCTTGCTCTCTTGGGCATGTATCCCTAAGAAATGAAAACTTATGTTCAGATAGAGACTTGTACATGAATGTTCATAATAGCTTTATTCATAATAGCTCCAAACTGAAAACTGCTCAAGTGTTCTTCAACGAGTGGTTAAATAAATAATAATAAATAAATAAAAAATAATTCATACCATGAACATGTGACAACATGGATGAACCTAAAAAAAAGGCCATAGGTTACATTTTCTGGGTTGAGAAAGTTATTTAAGTCCCTTGGTTTTTAATAAAAGGCAGTTTTCCCAGGCTTCCTCTTCCAACTTTGTTAAATTTAAAGATTGCTTTATGGCCAGGCACAGTGGCTCACGCCTGTAATCCTAGCACTCTGGGAGGCCAAGGTGGAAGGATCACTTGAGGTCAGGAGTTTGAGACCAGCCTGAGCAAGAGCAAGACCTTGTCTCTACAAAAAAATAGAAAAATTAGCCGGGTGTGGTAGTGGGCATCTGTAGTCTCAGTTACTCGGGAAACTGAGGCAGGAGGATTGCTTGAGCCCGGGAGTTTGAGGTTGCAATGAGCTATGATGATGCCACTGTACTCTAGCTAGGGGAACAGAGTGAAACTCTGTCTCAAAACAGGGAAAAAAAAAAAAAGATTGCATTGCTGTTAATTAGTATTCACATCACCCATCATCCTTGCAAAGTAGCTTTATGTGAAGGCAAAGTTTAGGAAGCAGAATGTGTATCCAGCTTTGGCATGAATCAATCACTGAAGGGCCAAGCCTTGCCTGCAAGATTATGAACACAGCCTGTAGGAGACTGGTGTGTAGAAGCAGAAAATCTTAAACTTTGAGGGTACTCCATTACCAGAAAAGGCTGCAGCCATAGAGAAACAGAATAGGACCATTGTTGCTGAGTGTTTTTTGTATCAATGTTAGAGTAAGAGTGATAACAAAAACTGTTATTTGGTATTGAACTTGGAAGATTATGGGATATAGGTTGTTGCATTTTTATGGTAACCATCCTTTTAGTTGGAAAACCTAGATAAATGATTTTTTTGGTTAAAACCTTTTTATATTACAGGATATAAATATTAACATGGAGGATGATTTCAAGACTGAGTCATCATCATCTACCTTTACTCTTCAAAGTTCTTCAGAGACATTGCTTTCTATTCAGCTATTAGATTTCAAAACAAGTTTATTGGAAGCATTAGAAGAGTTGCGTATGAGAAGGGTAAGCTCCTTTTTTTAAATGCTTTTTTAATAAGAGAAGTTGATTTTCTTCAGTTATTTTGTTTCTCAAGGGGAAAAAAAGACCTAAAATCCCCTCTTGTTTAGAAAGAAAATATACAGTCCAAATAATGAAGTAAAAGCAAATAGGACAGATTAAGTCAATGATCAGGGAATGGAAAATAAGAATTTGGAAACTAAAGCAAAAAATAAAACAGGAAATTTTAGATTGTTAATACTTGATAAGTCAACTAGTATTTATTGAGTCACTGGAAATACACAGATTGTACTATAGTTAGATACTAGAAAAGGAACTGCTTGTGGGGAGATTATGTTTTTGTTAAAGTTATAATAGAGGTGCCTATGAAATGATTAAATAATGAAATAAGGCAGCAAATGATTAAGTGACAAAATAAATGTATGTAGCAAGTGTTCTGGATTCAAAGAGTGAAATATCCTTATTTTAAAAAGTCATAACTGATATTTTTAAAAAGGATATATATAGTATAAAATTGTAAAATATGTTGATTTCAGCAGGAGATCTATATTATGCAAATCACCTTAAAAAGTGTTTCATTTCTGAGACAGGTGTGTGAAACTTTGAAAACTTTGAAACTATGTTGTTAACTGTATAGAATGGATTGGAGCTTGTAAGATTCTGGAGAAAAGAAAATACACTATAAATCTATTGCAATAATGATCTAGGAGTGAGTTCACTAGGACTTATATATGACTGTGAAGATAGAACAGAATAGGCAGAAAGAAGAATCAGTAGAATTTGATGACATCCTGAAAATAAGCTACAAGTGAGAGATCTGAAATGTTTTTATTATAATATGAACCTGTTCTAGGATATAAAATGTTGAAATTTATTGTTATAATAAGAAAATTTAAATATTACAATGTTCATTTTATATAAAGCTACTTATTAGTGTAACAAAAGTCTGTTTAAAGATGAAATCCTACTTAAAAATGGTATCTTAGATAAGTATTACAAAGAACTATTTTTATAAAATTAGTTTAAAATGTTACCTTTAAATAAAATAACTTTATGCCATTATTTAACACTTAATATTCTGTTTTATTTATTTATTTTTTCACTCCATGGATGGTGAGAAAATATTCTGTTTTAAACATTATATTTTAGTCTGTTCATATTTCCAACTTAAAAATATAATCTTCTTATAAAAATCTGAAAAATTTTAGGTTAACAAAGGAACAGTGTTAGGGTAAGGTGGTATCTCATTGTGGTTTTAATTTGCATTTCCCTAATGATTAGTGATGTTGAACATATTTTCATATGTTTGTTGGCCATTTGTATGTATATCTTCTTTTGAAAATAATCTGTTCATCTCTTTTGCTCACTTTTTGGTGGGATTATTTGGTTTTTTTCTTGCTGATTTGTCTTAGATTTCTTGCTGATTGTTTTCTTGCTGATTTGTCTTAGATTCTGGATATTAGTCCTTTGTCAGATGTATAATTTGTGAATATTTTCTCCCATTTTGTAGGTTGTCTGTGTACTCTGTTGATTATTTCTTTTGCTGTGCAGAAACTTTTTAGTTTAATTAAGTCCCATTTATTTATTTTTGTTGTTGCTGTATTTGCTTTGTTGTTGCTAAATTTAGTCATACATTCTCTGACTAGACCAACATCCAGAAGAGTTTTTCCTATTTTTTCCTAGAATTTTTATGGTTTCATGTTTTATATTTAAGTCTTTAATCCATCTTGAGTTAATTTTTGTATATGGTGAGAAATAGGGATCCAGTTTCATTCTTCTGCATGTGGCAGTGAAAACGGAACAGTTATACACTGTTGGTTGGAATGTAAACTAATACAACCTCTATGGAAAACACTACAGAGATTCCTCAAAGAACTAAAAATAGATTTATCATTTGATTCAGCAGTCCCACTGCTGGGCATCTACCCAAAGGAAAAGAAATCATTTTATAAAAAAGACACCTGCACCCGAATGTTTATTACAGTGCAATTCACAATTGCAAAGATATGGAATCAGCCTAAGTGCCCATCCACTGATGAGTGCATAAAGAAAATGTGGTATATATAACATGGAGTACCACTCAGTCATAAAAAGGAATGAAATAATGTCTTTTGCAGCAACTTGGATGGAACTGGAGACCATTATCCTAAGTAAAATATTTTAGGAATGGAAAAACAAATACCACATGTTCTTACTTATAAGTGAGAGCTGAAGAAAGGGTATGTATGGTCATAAAGTGGTGTAATGGATGTTGAAAACTAAGAAAGGCGGAGGGTTGGAGGGAATAAGAAATAAAAAAACTACCTCTTGGGTGCAGTGTACACTATTCTGGTGATAATACACTAAAAGCCCTGACTTCAGTATTATACAATTTGTCCATGTTAAAAAAAAATTTGTATCCCTAAGTGTATTGAAATAAAAAATAATAAAGGTAAATAATTCTATTACCAGGGTTTGATATGGCCTAATTGTGTTAGAGGCTATATTATAGGAAAGCCTATCCTGATATATCAAATGCTGCACCATTTTCAGTACTTTTAGACATTATCTTTGGAAGAGGAGAAATAGTGTTTTTAATAATCACATGTAAGAATATATGCTACCTTCAATGAAATTCCTAGTTGAAAAGAAAGCTTTCTTCTTAAAAAGGGGAAAAAATTTCTCTCTTTCATGGAAAAAGATGGTTTTTATTTTTCACATTTACACCAATGACAACACTTTATCTACATTCCTGGATTTTAATTTTTTCCCAACATTTTATTAGGAAAATTTCAAACATACATAATAGGTGACTAATAGGTGAAAGAATTTCATAGTAAATAATCCATATACCCACTGTGGTAGACAGAATAATGGCACCCATGGATGTCCATGTCAGAATCCCCAGAACCTGTGAATATGCTATCTTGGATGGCAAAAGGGACTTTGTTGATATGATTAAATTAAGAATTTTGAAATGGAGGGGTTTTGCTGGATTATTTGGGTGGACCCAGATGTTGATTCTCATAAGAATCATAAAGCTGTTTACAAGAGAGAGACAGGAGAATGAGTCAGAGAAAGAGATGTGATAATGGAGGAAGGGGTTGTAGTCAGAGAGAAAGGGAGTTGAAGATGTTATGCTGCTGGCATTTTGAAGATGGAAGAAGGTTCTGAAAGCCAAGGAATGTATGTAGGTGGAAGGTGGAAGAGGCAAGGAAATGGATTCTCTCCCAGAGACTACAGAAGATATGCAGCCCTGCAGGTACCTTGGACTTCTGACCTACAGAACTATAAGAGAATAAATTTGATAATAGAATAATTTTGTAATAGAATTGTTTTAAGCCACTGAGTTTCTCATTATTTGTTGCAGCAGTAATAGGAATCTAATATACATATATCATCTAGAATCTATACTTGATCTCATATATATCCGTTTGTCTTTGATCTTATTTTTTGATGCATTTCCAAGTAAGTTGGAAGTTATACACTTCAGTATGCATATTATTAACTAGAGTTCAATATTTGTTTATATATTTTTTCTTTTAATATAAAACGTATTATGGCTGGGTGTGGTGGTTCACACCTGTAATCCTAGCACTCTGGGAGGTAGAGGCAGGAGGATCGTTTGAGGTCAGGAGTTTGAGACCAGCCTAAGCAAGAGCGAGACCCCATCTCTACCAAAAATAGAAAGATTAGCTGGGCACAGTGGTGTATGCCTATGGTTCCAGCTACTCGGCAGGCTGAGGTGGGAGGATCGCTTAAGCCCAGGAGTTTGAGGTTGCTGTAAGCTGTGATGATGCCACTGAACTCTAGCCTGGGCAACAAAGCAAGACCCTGTTTCTAAAAAAAAAAAAAAATCTGGGAATTTTCTTTTACTTTTTATTAACCTTTAAAAATTGGTTTCTAGCTTATTTCTACTATATGAGCTATATGCTCTATATAATTTCAATCACTTAATATAAGTGGATATTTGCTTTCTGGCCAAGCATGCAATCCATTTTGGTAAATATTCTAGCATTGATGAATTATATTGATCAACTTTGTCAGTCTTGTTAAAATCTCCTATATTATTATTGAGTTTTTGTCTATATTTTCCGTCTTTTTCTCTCTCCATGTTTCAGACTGGCTATTTTCTCTTGTCCTTTCATTTCCTTAATGCTCTCATCAGTTTGTTATAAAGTCAATATATTGGGTTCTTAATTTTATTCATTGTATTTTTCAGTTCTAAAATTTCCATTTGGTTCTTCATTTATAATTTTCAGTCCCTGTTGAAGTTCATTTTCATGTAATTTAAGTATATTAATCACATATATTTTAAAGTGTATGCCAATAAACTCTAACATATGGACCTCTTGTAAATCCATTTGTATTGTCTTTTTTCCCCCCTCGATTTTGGTCATTTGATCTTATCTCCTGGAATGTAGGGTTAATTTTGATTGAATGAATGACTTTGTGCATGAAAAAAGGAAATTTGAGGCTTTGGTTGGTATTATCTTTCTCTAGAGAGATTTACATTTCTTTCTGGAAGTTAGTGTTGGGCAGATAATTTTACTAGTGAGAGATTGACCTGACTGGAGGCCGAGTTTCCATCTTAGTGAGGGTTGGTTTATTTCTACTCTCTACTCCAAGAGTATAGCTGCTTGGGGTTTTACCTAAAATCCTGGGATATTTGCCAGCATTCCACTTCCTTGGTGGGCCCTGAACACCAACTAAGCCTATCCCCATAAGACTGCTGGTAGATCTGCCTCATTTTCTTACCTTCTAGTCAGCTGTCAAATGCTGATTATCAACATCACCTCTCTATGCTTCCCTTCTCTCTGTGATCTTGGAGATGTATTCTAAATCATCATTCTTTTTGCAGGATCATGAAATTGTATAGTGTTAGAGATGGAAGTGACCTGAGATAGCTTCTAGGCTAACCTAAAACCCAGAGACTTTAAGAAACTAGTACTCAGATCTCTTATTTCTTGTTTAATACTCTTCCATTAATATATCTAATAAATCACCTGGAATGAATAACGTAGTCAACACAGTTGAGCTATACTGTAATGGGTTAGATCTCAAAATGACTTTAGTTACAATGAGCAAAACACAGTTAAGTGTTTTATAAGTAAATAAGACAACAAAATACAGTAGTCTACCCCTTCAGGGGATAAGTTTCAAGACCCCCAGAGGATGCCTGAAACCTTGGATAGTACCAAACCATATATGATGTATAGTATGTTTTTTTCCTATACATACATACTTATGATAAAGTTTAATTTGTAAATTAGGTACATAAGAGATTAACAACAACAATAATAAAATAGAACCTTTATAATAATATACTGTAATAAAAGTTACGTGATTGTGGCCTCTGTCTTACAATTATCTTATTGTACTGTACTCACCTATTTTTGGACAGCAGTTGACTGTGGGTAACTGAAACCTTGGAAAGCAAACCTGCAGATAAGGGGGGACCACTGTAAAGTCAGAGAAAAAGACTTTTCCTACTCTACTAAAGTGTATTTCTTGCTTAACTATACAGTAATTGACAAAAGAGAGAGGGCACATTACTCATTTTTTTCCTTGTGGACTTAAATTGATAATGTTAGTACTTGAAAAAAATGGAACGTTTTAAATTAATAGTAATTAACAAATTAACAGTCCTAATCAACAAAATACTTTATATTGAATCCACAATGTGTGCATTTTAGAAGTTAGACACCATTACTGATAAATGTCCTTATCAGATAGATCCACAGACTTACTGATAAAGAGTAGGGATGAACAATAATAGCGCAGGAGTAACAAACTCAGCTCCAGTCAGGATACAGGTAGTTGGCATGTGATGTGAGTAGGGTGGGGATTATGTTGAAAAGCCTGTATCTTCAGTTCAACCTACAGCTGCCATGCCAGGTAGAAAAATGGGCATTGTGCTATCAGCTCTTTCAGTTGTTGAAGAGAAACTAGAAATCCAGATTGCAGTATGAAATCTATCAGATTCTAAAAATTGAAAGTAGGTTGAAAGTTTTTAAACAAAATATATTTCTGAGCCAAATTATCTGTACAATGGGGATAAAGGACCTCTACCAGAAAGCTTTTAGGCTTTTAAAATATGCATTCATTTGATAACATTTTACAAATCATTTCTCAGTCTATGCATTAAGAGAATTGAAAATTTATTATGTACTACATGCCATGTAAATTCATAACTATATTATCACATAGTATGTATTATGTATCATAATAGACTTATGAGCAAAGTATTATGATAGTTCAGAGAAAGGGCACATTACATTTATTAAATATCTAAATAGGAATAAATTTTAGAATTCTAAATTAGCAATAAATAAAACTCAATGGGATTTTGGGTAGCCTAAAATAACAATAATTTTCTAAGAAAGTTGTGAGGGAAAACTGGGTAATTAATGGTATAATATGTGGTAAATAACATTAAGCAGCCCTTCAATGGCCCATAAAATTAAAAATGCTATAAGAAGAATCATACTCCTTTCTGATTATTATGATTTGTAGAATATATTTAATATGTCTTTATACTACATGGAAAACTGTTAAAACGAGAGTTAGCCACATTGCCAAAAAATAGCATTATAATATACTTCTATATTAGGATTTTATTAATTTATGCTTTCTATTAAAATCGTTAAACTTTTTATTAGAACTTTCATTTTTTTCTTCTGTCCATTAGCAGCTTAAAAAAGTTATTAATAAAAATTCCTTTTAAATTGTCAATGAGAAAAACTATATTAGATTTAGTAAGAAAATTCTATCTAACTTCAATAAAGTATCCCAGAATATAGAATCTTGAAAGTGTTTATTTTTTATTAGATGCCTTAGGACCACAAGGATTTAAGTGTTTTTACAAAAACAATAAAAGAGGAGTAATTTGATGGTTTATTTACTCTTTGTAACCTTTAGAAAGTGTCATGCTTTTTTTAAAGTGCTTGCTTCAGGCTGTAGTTTTACAAGATGGGCTGTGTATTGGTCAGGCCTTTTCAATTCTTGACCCTGAACAGATTTAGGGACATAGTACATACAGCAGGCACACGTCCAAATAGCCCAAACTGTAAGTGGGCACTTTTACATTCCTTTTCAAAGTCTTAATCCACCTCTTACGAAATTGTTCAAATTGGTCTCTTATGTTGTGTAAGAAAATACTAATCACTTTTCCAGATAGTTTCTTAGTCTGATTAGCTTAAAAGTATTCAAGATAATTATCTCTAATATTCATGGGATAGGCTAGAAGTTAATGTTCTTAAAAAAATCTTTTTCCTAATAGTATTTAAACCACTGTTTTAACATGACTTGATTTAATATAAAGATTTCTGATATAGAAAAATATTAATATTAGAACATTCAAAAGCAATTCTTATTCTTTTGTTTTTCATTCAACAAATTTCTAGTTTTATTTTGAAATGTTGTAATGAATAATCAGAATGTAGTTGCATATTTAACGTAGGTTAAATGATTTTGAATGGTTTTCTAAATTTTGGAGGATATGAAGATTAAATTCGGAAGGGTTTTTTCTTTTTCTTTTTCTTTTTTTTTTTTTGAGACAGTCTTGCTCTGTTACCCTGGCTAGAGTGCAGTGGTGTCATGATAGCTCACTGCAACCTTAAACTCCTGGGCTCAAGCCTCCTGAGTAGCTCCTGCCTCAGTCTCCTGAGTAGCTGGGACTACAGACATGCACCACCATGCTCAGCTAGGTCCGGTTTTGGTAGTATGGTAAACAAGCCTCATAAAATCAGTTGGCATTTGTTTCATCCTCTTACATTTCTCTGGAAGAGATGTGTAAAAATGATGTTAATTCTTCTTTAAATGTTTGGTAGTATTCTCTAGTGAAACCACCTGGGCCTGGAGATTCCTTTTTAGGGAGGTTTCTAATTAGATATTTAGTTTCTTTATTGTTACAGGGCTATTCAGATCGTCTATCATCTTGGTTGAGTTTTCGTAGTTTGTAATTTTTGAAGAATTGGCCCATTTCTGTAAGTTGTCTTATTTATGAGTATAAAGTTATTTATAGCATTTATTTATTATCTTTTTAATGACTATAGTTTTTTTGTACATAGTTTCTTTTAGCTCTTTGAGCATATTTAAAATGGTTGATTTAAAGTCTTTGTGTAGTAAGTCCAACGTCTGGGCTTCCTAAGTTTCTATTTTTTCCCTGTGTATGGGTCACACTTTACTATTTCTTTGCATGTCTTGTAATTTTTTGTTGCAAACTGTATTTTGTGTATGTAAGCAACTCTGGAAATCAGATTCTTCCCCCTTTCCAGGGTTGCTGATTATTGTCCTTTGTTTAGTCACTTTACTGAACTGATTTGTAAAAGTCTGTAGTCTTTGTTGTGTGTGGCCACTGAAGTTGCTGTATTGTTAGTTTAGTGGTTAACTAGTGACAGATTTCCCTAAACACTTAGAACCAAAAGAAAAAAATCTTCTAGTCTTTGCAGAAGGGCTCTATGTATGTTTGCTGAAGCACACCTTCAACACTCAAACCAGGCAGTTTTCAACTTTGCCTATTAAAGTTTTCAGATTTCTCTAGTGAAAACTTATGTTTATGGTGTGGGCTAATTCAGGAATATTACATTATTTTAAACAAAATCAGAGAGTTTTTCTAAAATGACTGCTTGGCTTTGGGCCTTTTCACTTGACTTTGAGTGTTCCTTTGTGCTACTTCCCAGAGAAAATCTGTCTTTGTAACTCTCCCAGCTGTATCTCCCTCTTGTTTTTACTTTATGCTTATTGGTGAGGTGGTGGTGGCAGGATAGGGAAGAAGGGCATTCATTCTCTGATATTCTCTGTAGGCCTCAGTCTTAGGTGAACCCAAGTCTCAGGATAAATTCTTCACGAGTGTTTTGGTCCCTCCTTCATAAGTAATACTGGGCCTAGCATGTATTCCTGCCACTGGTCCAATGATAGAACTGTTGTTGCTTTGTTTTTCCAGTCATCCTCCTCCCAGCTGCTGTGGGTTTCCACAAGTGCTCTCAGGTGGTGGTAGTTTTTATTGCTCTTCTTGTAAAGCTTTTGTTCCTTAGGGGAAAGGAAGACAGATGTGTCTAGATAGAGTTTTCAGTGGGGACTGTGGTCCCCCTGCCCACATGCACAGGTTTTGCACTAGTGTCCCTAGCTACAGTTTTTGTTGCCCTTCTCCTGCAGATTAAGTTTTGTTCTGTAGGGAAAATAGGGAAGATGGTTCATGACTGTTCTTCCCCTACACAGCCAGTACCATAGGGAGAAGCTTTCTCGGGATTCTTCCCAACCTTCCCTGTAAGCACTTGGTGGGTTTCTTAGAAGAAAAGCCTGCTAGAGGGTACAAACTTTCATATTTTGGGGACCCCCAAGGGATTCACATTTTTACAGTAGTAGCCCACATTTTGCTCTTAGTAATTTATTAAGGACTTTTAGCTGAATCAATCTTCTTACTGGTACTCAGTGGCTTATGTCCTAGGTAAACAAATGTTGGGGTTCTATTTTTCCCTCCAGACACCTGTCTCTACCCAGATTTTGAGGTATTTGATAGATCTGGGACCTCAGTTCTATCATGGATTTGTCCATTTAATTTGCAATTTGTCTAGCTTCTTTCTTGTTGTAAGGGTAAGAGGATACTGTTTCTTTCTCTGATTGGTGAAACTGGAGGTTGTAAAGTCTAATTTTCATAACATTTTTCTTTTTGACTTAGGAAGCAGAAACTCAGTATGAAGAGCAAATTGGTAAAATTATTGTGGAGACGCAAGAGCTTAAATGGCAAAAGGTAAGTATTTTTTCCCCTCAGATTAGGATGTTTAGCATCTATTTTAAAGTATATTCTAATCCTTATTGCAAAGTTAATTTTTACATTTTCTAACATATTTGGGGGTAATGCATTATTTTAAATAAAGTTTTAAGAAAATCCCAAGTAAAACTGTTGGTAACATTTGGACTACGAAAAGACAAGAATAAAAACTTTGTTCAGCCTTTTTGTATTATAACACTGAGGATAACTCTGAAAACTACTATGCTGTGAACTATTTTATATCTGAGAAACATACTGTATGTTACAGGGGAATTAGAATATTTTGAAAGCAATGAAACCTCATACCTAGTGCGTATTTTCCAAGAGTGTTGTTATATAATGTAACAAAATACAAAAAAAAAAAAAAAAGTATCAGCTCTTATTTTCTCTGTAGCTTTATTTGTAGGGAAGTATTTATGGTAGTATTTCTCATGCCTTTCCATCCAGGTAATCTTAACAGCTAAAAATTGCAAGCTTAATTATGATGGTCCCTATTCGTAGTATTTGGCATTATTGAAACAGGAACTTTTGGGGTAACAAATCAGAATCAGAATTCTAGACCAAACTAGAAATTATTGGAATTTTGAGCCAAGACAGATTTGCAAGATTGTGAAGAATATATAGGAGTAAAACCAAGGTTGGATTTTATGAGGGAAAGGTTGGAAAAAGACCTATCTGTAGAGAGAAAGAACTAAGTACAAATTAAAGCTCAAAACAGATTTTAGAATGTGAAGTCATATCTTGTTTTTGTATAGAAAGAGTCAATGGTATAAAGTTATCAAAACTTAGTTTCACTAAGTTAATCAGTAAGTCTAATAAATCCAATTTAAAATATGAAGAGCATGTTTAGGGCACTTAAGCTGATTCAAAGGTTTATGTGGAAATAAACATAACATACAAGGGTGGCAAGAAATTTTTATGAAAGAAGAGGATGAAATGCCATACTTGATTTTAAACATATTATAAAGCTATAATAATTAAAATAGCTTGGTAGTGTATATAGTTATTCAGTGGAACATAACAGAGGCCAGAAATCTAAATACATGAGATAATTTAGTGAATGGTCAAGTTGGCTTTCAAATCAGTGGGAAAAAGTAGATTATTCAAGAAGTGGTATTAGAGCTGGGTTCCATCTGAAGAAAAAGCCAGATTCCTAACTTACTTTACAAACTTGTAGGAAAAAGGGAACTTTTGTATGTTGTTGGCAGTGTAAATTAGAAGTGCCTTGTCGCATTCCCCAAAATATCACCAAAGAACTTTTTAATAAAGCAGCTATGTTTAGTAGAACTCATTGCAGTAAGTGAAAACACTACAGAATCTTAGTAGTGTTTCAAAAGGGGCAAATCAGAATTGGAATATATAGAGGGCTATGAGGTCCAAGTGGCTTTAGACAGATCTTTTAAGGCAGGGTATTGATTGGGATTGGGCAAATTTTGTAACACAATATTTTAAAATTAGTGAATATAGCAACACAAGGCTCTTGACGCTAATCTTGAGACTAAATTATTGTTTGGTAAATGAGGTGTTTACCCAAATAAACTATTGTCTCAGATAATTTTTTTTGTAGTTTGAAACAGTGATATAATTTATTGGTTTTTATAGTCTTATATTTACTGGGTGAAGGTTTCCTGGAACAGAAACTAAGTTGTGTTGACACAGGTATTCTCCATTGTTAGTACTAATAGTTCTGTTGTATTGATGCAGGTGGTTTCAGTTCTCAGTCTCCCTTAGCTGCTTTAGCCTGAGCTGGAGAATGGAACTTTATTATTTAGAATGTTATCAGTCAAGATTTATGCTGCTTGATGAGTCATGATAGCATATAAGGTTATTTCTGGTGGTGTGTGTGTGTGTATCTAGATATCAATTTTTCCTTTTCTTTTCTTGGATGATCATTTGTTGGATAATTTAATAAGATAGTGGCCGCGCTACATTATTTAAGACTCCAGAAGTTGTATATTTGAACACACCAACATGGAAAAATACTAAGGAAAAGATTGTTATCAGAATTTATAGATCACTTCTAAGCCAGCAGCCAAGAGTACCTGTATTAAACCAAAAGAACAGAGACCATCCCCAAATCACAACAAATTTCAGTTACTAATTGGACTCATACCATAGAGTGACCAAGAATGTAGAGAGCAATATTAAGGATAAAGACCTTAGAAATATCATAGTTAATAAATAATGTGTTTACTCACTTAAGGTTCTGGATTATTAACAAAGAGGAAAGCAAATATCTAGGAAAATAAAGAATAAATGTCTGCAAACCAAAGCATCACAATCTGTGGCTCTGATTATCTAGATTGAATATTGGTGTTTATGTAAAGAGTCATAGTAAATATTTCAAGCTTTATAGACTATGTGGTCTCCGTGACTACCACTCAACTCTGTTGTAATGTGAACACAGCTCATGAGCAGTACTTAATAAATGTGGCTATGTTCCTATAAAATGTTATTTATAGACACTAAAATTTAAATTCATATAATTTTTAAAGTGATTTGAAGTATTTTTAAAATTCTTTTTCTTTTTAGCCATTAAAAAAGTATAAAAACAATTCTTAGCTAACAAGCTATACAAAAATAGACAGTTGGCCAGATTTAGCCTGTGGGTCATAGTTTGTTGACCCCTGATCTAGATTTATTCTGTAGGTCTTGGATGGAGGCTGTCTATATTATATGTTTAATAGTTTCCTTCTTGATCTAAAGCTCTTCAGTGGAAGCTGTTTCTTTCCGAAGACAACCTGCTTCTGAAATTTTCTCGACTTCTTAGTTTTAAATTTCTTGATGAATGGCAGTCCAAGTATTGACGAGTCAAACCTAGTGTCTGTTCATTTAGGAGACATGAATCCAAGGATCTATGCCCCGGAGTTTAGCTCACGTGCTAGTAGTCCAAGTACCTGATACGATGCATCATTTTCAGAAGACATTATCTTCAAGTTTTAAGTCATACAGAGGAAAGGCAACTTTTATCTGTTGGTGATGAGACTATAAAGAATATTGCATGAGTCTCTTGGAGTACTTTACCACATTTGTCTGAAGTAAGGAAGTGTCCAAAATCAGAGAAGTAGTCAACTTTGTAGAGCAATTTCTAACAAGTTTAAATGGTGAAAGCCAATGAGTGTCAAGAGTATTGACTTCATGGTATTGTGAGTTAGAGGTAACCTTTTCTTGCTCATGGAAATTCAAGAGTGTTAGATTTAATATGCCATTAGCTCTTGACTTTTCCTAAAGATTGAGGATGATGGAAGCAATGAAGTTTCTAAATAAGTGACAAGGCTTTGCAAAGTTCTCTAATTACAGTCCTGGTAAAAAATGAATGCCTCTGTCACTGGAGATCCTCAGGTTGGAAATACAAAATCAAATGTTTTTTTCCTACTTATAGACCTGTAGCTCTCTGGCAAGAAAAAGTTTCAGTTTATCCTAACAAGATGTAAGCAATGATGAGAAAACACTCAGAACCCATTGCAGGGGTTAATTTTAGGAAGTCCATTTGGAAGTGATTATAGGGACCCTGAGACTTGGATTTACAGGGATAAAAGTTTTACCAGAATGGTGCTGATGACAGAAATGTGCAACAGAGACATCCTTAGCAAGCATAATAAAATTTCCCCACCAATGCTAATTGAGTGTAATATTCAGTTTGTTCTTGCTCTGATGGATAATTTTATGTAAAATTTTTGCAAAGTTCCATTGAGGTCCTCTGGTGCCACCAAGTGTCTGTCCTGAAAGATTTTCTTTTTGTAATTATAATCATGTTTTCTTTTTAGACTCTGGAACCAATTGTGAGCATTACAAAACAGCCTTTTTAAATTTCTCCAAATATTTGGCTTTTTGGATATCACAAGGGTTAGGACCCTGTGTGTCATAAAGATTAGGACATTTCCTTTAGCATTTATGTTATCCCTTTTGGTGTGGCTTTATGATAGCCACCTGCTTAGGAAGCATTAGAGCACTTAAAATTGTTGACCATGTGAAATTGGGATTCCTACCGAGGTCAGAAACCCTCACTGTTTCTACAGTATTACAAAACCCTAGATAACTCCAAAGGTGTAGCTGCTATTAGTGTTAACTCTATTATCTCTTAATAATTGGCAAGTTTTGCTGAGTAGTATAAATTCTGTCATCTGGGCTGGTTAAAACTCTGAGAAGCGAGTCATAATTTAGGTGTCACTTGAGACTGTTGCAGTGTATCTTGCCTTATATTTTTCCCATTTCAATTTCAAAAAATGACCTATCAACAAAAAAGATTAAACCTAGATTTAATCTAGGTAGAGTTCCTAATAAATCTTTTTGAAGTATAGTCATTGCTCAGAGACTAGATCATCATGGATTTCCCCTTCTTTGGATAATGGAGAAAGAGTACCAGGCTTTTAAAAAAAGTTTCTCTGTAAGCAACATTTGTGAGAAATAAAGATCAAAGAGATATTTTACATAGGAAGTTACTGATCTTCAAACTATGTCTTGAAACAAAGTTTGCCAGGTACTCTGTTCAATCCTCATCTCTCTTAAGACTTTAGTGTGTGTATATATATATATATTTTTTTTCATTAAGAGATAAAAAACATTTAATTTTAACCTTTTCAAATGTTTATATGTTATATATAAAATTAACACCATATGTGTATATATACATCTATAAAATGAATAATATATAAAAAGTAAAATTAATCATGTGTGCATGTCTGTAAAATTAGGTAAGATTATATGATGGATTTATTAGCAATTTTAGGGGGCAATTGTCAAATAGTATTGCATAGCTTTTGCAAATTAAAAATTAAAAAAGGAATGAGTTAGGTATTTTAAAAGTTTTCATGCCTCTTTATTTAAATTTTTATTTTTTAATCAAAGAATTGTATATATTTATGGGTATAATACAATGTTTTGGTATACCTATATGTGTGTGTGTATGTATACACATACATGTAGTGGAATGGTTATATCAAGCTAATTAACATATCTATTACCTCACATACTTATTTTTTTGTAGTTTTAAAAAAATATACTTTATTATTAATTATGGTCACCATGCTGTGCAATTGATCTCAGAACCTTATTCTTCTTGTCTAACTGGAACTTTGTATCCTTTGATCAACATTTCCCGGTTTCCTCCACCCCACATCTCCCACCTCCCAGCTTCTGTTAATCACCACTCTACTCTCAACTTCTAAAGTTTGACATTTTTAGATTCCATATGTAAGTGAAATTATGTGGTATTTTTCTAATAGAGGGCTTTAAGGTATTATAGTACTGAGTGGAAATATGTGGGGGAGAAAGTAATAAGAGTTCATAGGAGGTGAGCGTACTTCTTAAGAACTGTGTTTTTGGTAAGCAACAAAGATTGTACAGCATGAGGAACCATGAAATTTAAACAAATCCTTAAACTAAGCCAGTAGAAGCCTCTACTAATTTAGCAGCTGATAATATTGCCCTTAGACAAGGAGTTGGCTTTTGCCAGTAGGTCTAAGGGAAGACTGTAGTAAGAAATTGGATTCTGAGGATTCCTTGTGGTATTCTATTAGAGTATTAAGGGCTTACCTACATTGTTCAGGTACAAATAGGTCAAAAAGCTTTATAATGATTAGGAAGGTCCCAAGGAAGGGGGCTGTTGAAGAGCAATTTTTAAATCACAAAATTCTTGTTTAAGTTCCTGAGGGAGAGATTCCATTATTGAGGACTTAAGTTATATAGAGGTATAGTGATTTTAGAAATGTTTGGAACCCAGTGTCTGCAATGGCCAGTGAAATGCAGAGAACTTCTTAATTGTCTCTTAGTAACCAGACTTGGAAAATAATTGAATGGGTTATAATTCATCAGAAGTGATAGATTCACCCCCTTGGGATAAATCATACCCTAAATAGTTTACTTTGTTCTGATAAAATTCTGAACTTTTTTTGGAATTTTCATGTCTTTGCTAAAACAGTAAGTTGATAAATGGAATCAGTCTTAGAGCTCCTCATCTTTAGAGCACAGCAAAAAAAACCTTGTCCACATACATATAACCGTAGTGTTACAGGGAAATTTAAGGTCCTTAAGGTTCCTCACTAAATCTCCAAGGTATAATTGTAGAGGTAAATTGTTGACTTTCTCAGGAAAAAACAAATAGGTGTTGACTATCTTGATTTAAAGGGACACCATAGAAAGCAGAATACATATAGTGTTAAAATGTAGTGATAAAAATAAAATATATTGGTAAAATATGCAGCCTCAGATAGCACTGAAGATAAAATAGTATTTGGGCTCAGTATTATGAAGAAGTGAGTAAAATTTTTACTTTGTTTATGGCCTTAAGGTCCTGAACAAATCTTTATCCTCACTTAATTTGGTTTCTTGACTGGGAAGCAAGAGTGTTTAAAGACTGATAGAATGTATAATTCATCCTTTCTCCTTTGGACTATCGGCTTTTGTTCTTCTTTAGCTTCTGGTTTTAGAGGTATTTTGTAAATGTAGGTAGATGTTTAGATGGGTTGATCTGAACTTTGCTGCCAATATTAGTAAAACTTTTTGCCCACAAAGGTACCACTTCATGGAGCTCTACAATTTGGTTTGATCATGCACAAGTGTACCAATAAGTCAATATGCAAATTAGCTATGATCTGATTATGAATAGGAAAGTCCTCAGGGATCTTACAGAAAAGATCAGGGGAGAATTTAATGTTGCAATTCAATTTACATAATAGATGCCCATCTTTTAAGTTAATGGGTGTGATGTCACAAAGGAGAAAATAATATTTCTTATTTGGGGATCCAAGGGTAACACTTATAGGCTGAAACAAGCCTAATAATCTGTGGATTATTAGAGATACCCACTATCTGAGTAGTTCATTCACTCTGAGGGAGAGGTTTCTTTTAATATTTAGAGAAATTTCTCTTTGCAAGTTTGAGGATAAAATGAGAAGTTGGTGCATGATTTTCCCCCAGAGCAGTACCGCTGATTTGCCCATTTGATTTTTTTCTCCCTTTATTTTCTTAGCTAGAACATGACAATTATTTTTATAATGTCTTTTCTGCTTATAAAAAGTAGCTATAGGTGTACTTTACCAAGAGGTCCATTCCTCCCCAGTGCTCGATGAATTATAGTGGGAGTATTTAGTTGTTTTATCTGTAAAGCCATCAGTTTATTCTGATTTTGTTCTAAGCCCTTTTTGAAGATCTGGATTTGGAGATTTGGTAATACAGCTATTTCCCATTTCAAATTTGTTGCATATTAAATCCTTTGTTTTTGGATTTAAGACTATTCACAAAAAGGGAAGAGCTAGATGTTACATCTTCAGAATCTACTCCACAAAAAGCCTATTCCTGAAGTCTCCAGTTGACTCATTCTTTCCTTCTTCCTTCCTTGCAGGACTGGATTAGAGTTAACTTTATTTTCACAGGAAAAACTTTGGGGATAGCCTCTGATTTTGTCAAATATCTAAAGCTTTTCTAAATCTGTATGGTTTCCTATATAGTTCGAGATTTCCTAAGTCATTCTGGGGATCTTCTTTCTTTGCCTTTTTCATTCAATTTTTTTTTTTTTGGCATCTAATAATATGAGCCAACTGATATAGATCATGGAACAAGTAGTATTAATTTTTTAAATTGGCTATGGGAATTAAAATATTTTAAACTACTTCAGAAAAAAGTTGTATGGAAATAAAAATATCATGGCATACTACATGGCTTAACATTGAATAATAATTACATAGTCATGGCAGTGTAAATAATGAGTATTGATTTAAGCCACGATTTTGATATAACTCTATTGGAAGAATAGGGGAGGTAGTGTGGGGTAATAGTTGTATAAAAAACCTGAACTTCCAACTTTTGTAACAGGAGATCAATACGTACATTTTTAAAATTGATAACGTAATTATTTAGAAATCTGGAGGCAAATACAAGATAAATTTGAAAGTACCACTTTGAAAAATTTGAAAAAATTGAAAAAATTGCCACTTTGAGGCCTAATTTTTAAATAAGAGTTATTAACTTTGACAAAAATAGAAGAAAAAATTTAAAGTCATCTTGACTGTAAAGAGCAGAACATACAACTTCCACCAAAAAAGGGGGGAGAAGGGAAGAAAAAAAAATGGAGTCATATATGTGGGGTTTTTTTTCAAAAATTCCCTGGGGTAGTTTTGGTTTTATAAAAAATTATTTCAGTGAATTTAAAGATGTATATGTTGACAGGTAAACATTAGTGCTTAGATAATAACATTTGTTTCTCTGGAAATTCTAAGCCTATATAGTCTCCTTATGTACTAGGACTGTTAATATAATAGGACTGTTATAATAATAACTTTTAGTTAAAAGGGGAAAGCTTTCCTTGAGGAAAGCTTCAAAGCAATCATGTCCAGTTTAAAAATTTAAAAAGCAATGTGTTTTTATTATGAAGAAGCAACTGGAAGCAGTATTTTTGTATAATGATTCCATGACAATTAAAAATTAATAAAATTGGTTTGAAGTTGCGTTTCAAGAGCATAGCATAATATAGGCAAAAAGTATATTTAACTTTTATTTAAATTGTGAATGCAATTAAGATTTAAAATTGAGTTACTAGAATTTATATTTTAACTTCTTGTAATTTTTAAAATAGGAAACTCTTCAGAATCAAAACGAAGCATTAGCAAAGCAGCACAAAGAAGCGATGGCTGTTTTTAAAAAGCAGGTAATTTCATAAGGATAGACAAGAACTATAGTTATAAATACTGCATTTCCTTTTCCTTCCGTGAATATTATGGCAAGCTGTTCTCTATACTCACCAAAGATGAAAAAGACAAGATGGTATTATGGAAAGTAGGAAATGAATAAAGTATATAATAGTCGAATAAGTTAGTTAGTTGAGGGAAATTGGGGAATCTGTTTTCTTGGAGATGGAGATGTGTTTTCATCTGTCTTAAATAATTTAAGTAACTGGGTTGTGTGTGTTTGTGTTCTTTCCCTGCTCTTTCCTCTTTCTCTCTTTTATTAGACTATCCTAGAATCTTACCTTTTTTGTATTACCCCACTTTACCCAAGTAGATTGATAACATTATGATGAAAAATTGAGATGTAAGTAGGGGTATGTCAAGGATGAGGAGAGGTAATTATTACATGCCGAAGCCTCTGTAAATGTCAACCATCAGTAACTAAGAAATAAAAGTAGAAAAATAGAAAGAAAAGATTGAATAAATTAATAGCAACACCTTCAACCAATTTGAATTCTGTGGCTCTTCTTGACTATCTCAAATTTTTCTTTAGTTCCTAGTTAGAAAATACTAGTTTAAGAAAATGTGTTCATGTAAAATATTCTCTGAAAGTTTTTTCCTTATATTTATCTTATATCATCATTTTTTCTTCTTTTTTCCTTCTTTTTTATCTTCATCTCTATACAAGTGTGTGTATTTAGAAAAAGAAATGCACCTAAAGAAATAAGCCTATATAATTTATGTCGCTAGTGGGTTAAAGGTTCTTGATAATTTACACCTTTGTATGAATGTTTAAACAAATGACAGACTTACTTCCTTTAATTTGAGATAGACCTAACCAAAGTTAGGGAGTTTTATTTGAGGAGTAAGGAAGCAGAAGCCAAAAGCATAGCATAGTATTCTCTAGGAAAGAGCAAGTCTGTGTCTCTGCTATCACAAGGACCTTTTGGGCAAGGTAAGAATACACATTTCTGAAGGGTAGAGGAGAAAGTGCTCTTGTGTTCTTTTTTTTCCATTGTTTTTTGTTTGTGTTTACCTCATAGAAAGGGTTCTTGAATATAAGTGGGAAGTGTGAAAAAGGATATAGGGAAGTTCCAATGAAAAATTTTATTTCTTAAAAATTTTAGCTAATATCCTTATTGCTGCTTAGAATATTTCATAATTTTCCTTTGGCACATATACTTTCATTTTTCTATTTTGAAATATCATTTTTTAAAATGTTATTAGACCACTGCATGAGTTGAAAAAAAATTTCAGAACATACATACTGTCAATGCAAATACAAATGATATTAATTCAAAAAATTACACCTTCAGAAAATGATACATGCTATTATTTATGAGTAGATGGCAAAATATTCAGACATTTAAGGAAAAAACTTCTGGAAGGGAAAATGAAACTATCAAGGTTGATTGATATCTCTAATCAGTGTGATTAAATTGTCCATTTACAGCCAGGCGCAGTGGTGTGCACCTCTGGCCCCCAGCTGCTTTAGAGGCTGAGACAGGAGGATCACTTGCTCCCAGGAGTTGGAGTATAGCCTAGACAATATAGTGAGACCTTATCTCTAAAAAAGAGTTAAAAATAAATGAATTGTTCATTTACTGACTGGCTTTTTTTCCTTAGACAGCGTCTTGCTCTGTCACTATGGCTAGAGTGCAGTGGCATCATCATAGCTTGCTGTAGCCCCAAACTCCTGGGCTCAAGTGATCCTCCTGCCTCAGCCTCCTGAGAGCTAGGACAACAGGTGTGCACCACTATGCCTGCTAAATTTTTTTCTATTTTTTTTAGAGATGGTGTCTCGCTTTTGCTCAAGTTGGTCTGGCACTCCTGACCTTAAGCAGTTCTCTCACCTCTGCCACTCAGAGTGCTAGGAATACAGGCATGAACTATATCATGCCTGACTGATGGGCTTTTTTATCCTTTTATATCTTTATTTTATTTTCTGAATCTGAAAGTAACATATATTAAGTTCAAACAATATAGATGTGTAAAATGTTTCTGAACTCTTCACTGACCGGTGTAAATCACTGTTAACAGTTTACCTACCTGTATTTTAATTTTTTAAATTGTTTATCAGTTGCAAATGAAGATGTGTGCCTTGGAAGAAGAAAAGGTATTTATTAATTTTTTAAAAATAATTTAAAACATAGCTAAATATATTTAATTATCAGTTGTTTACCATAATAGAAAAGAGCAGTAATAAACTAATGGAGAAGGTTAGCTGCTTAAAATCTTGGACCCAAAATAATCATGTTACTTGACTTCTGTCGTTTTACAATTCAGAATACTGAGGCCTAGCAAGGTTAAATGACTTGCCAAAGGTCTCACTTTGAAGTGGCAAATTTGGGACTAGTACTCAGACCTCTTCAGCCCCCAAATTAATGTTCTTACCATGCTACTGCAATGTTTCTATTAACTATAGTATGTTTCTAGTGCCTTTGCAATGTGATTACCTTTTTTAAAAAACGTTGAAGTGACTTACATCTGGGTGAAGACCAACTGACAAAGAGGATACAACTTCAGCAAACCTAGAAATTTATCTGGCACTAAATATTTTCTCTAGTTATCTAGTAGTTAATACATATTTTATTATATCAGTGAACATATCATTTACAGTAATTATAGTTTATTTTTAGCAAAAGACCTTCTTTTAAAAATTATCCCATATCCTTACAGTCATAAGATAAATAAATGTACCTGTATTTTATTTATTAGAATATATTTATTCTAGTTGTACGAATTAAATAATTATAAAGTTTATATATGTTCTCAGGAATGCTCTACTGATAAAATGATTTGTTATAATATGACATTCCATTTCATGATAATTATAAGCATATAATGGCTTTATTATAATTTTATGATATTTTCAAGTTATTAGAAATGTAATTTATAATGTAGATATGAGGTTAAAGCCTGTGAAGTTTTAGGTTTAAAGTAGAGATTTTGGTTCTTGAGCTCTTATATTTTACCCTTTTGTAATATCATTTACATTGGAAAGTACTGAAATATAGTCTTTTATTTAAAGGGAAAATATCAACTTGCTACAGAAATAAAAGAAAAAGAAATAGAAGGTTTGAAGGAAACATTAAAAGCATTACAGGTAAAGTAACTTAGTATTGCTTAAAGAGGAATTTGGCATTTTAACATTGTATCAGTAAAACACCATTAAATATGTAAGCTGGCAAAACAAAGCTGACAAAAATTTGTATGTATTATATAATTTAATACTTTTTTCCTGAGAACCTTGAATTTCAAATTAGGATTTTTGCTTTATCATAGTTTAAGAAGAAATGTTAAAATAACTTTCATTATTTCCTATAGTAATACAGTTAAATAGAGTTTTTAACACTTTATACATGAGGAAAACATGTAAGGCCTATATTTGTAACTGATTTATTTACTCATGGTCCTTAAAAATTAAAATAGCATTAATTGAATCTTTATTATGTGGTATGTACTGTGCTTATTTTCTACAAATACAAAGATTAAGAAAACATCACCTTTGCCCTTAAGTTGTTTGTGGTCTTGTACAGAATACAGAGGTATTCAGCTAATGATGATTCATTCAATATAGATTTATTGAATGTCTGAACATTTTTATCAGGATTAAGGATATAGCAATGAATTAAAAAGATTAAAAAGAATTTAAAAAAGAATTAAAAGGATTAAGGATATAGCAATGAATTAAAAAGACAAAAATCTCTGCCCTTGTGAAGCTTACAATCTACTGGGGAAGACAAAAAATTAAATGAAGTAAATAATCAAATGAAGATATTCACATGATTTCAAAGTATCACCCTATAGACATTAATTACAAAGAGCAAAATATATTTTTATAATGGAAGGATGCTGAAGGTCACCACCTTAATCAAGTGATGAAGTCTAGCAATGTTAATAATGATACAGGCTTTCCATGGGTCCATAATAAAGAGTACAGAACTTCACCTGTGTAATTTTCTTGCCAAAAATATTAACTGAAATCTAATTATGAAGAAACAATGAGACAGAATCACAATGTATGGGACATTCTGTAAGACAATTGGCCTTTTCAAAAACTTCAATGTCATGAAAAACAAAACCTCCTCCCCCCAAAAAAAGGTGAGGGGAACTACTTTTGATTAAAAGAGAACAAAGAGATATAGCAACCACGTGCAATATATGAACCTTCATAGATCCTGGGTCAAGGAAAAAAATTACCAATAAAAAATTGAGAAGGCTTTTGGGGGATATTTGAATATGACTATATGTTAGATGGTATTATTGAATTGTTAACTTTCTTAGGTATAAGTATTATGGCTATATGCCAGAAAGTTTATATTTTTAGAAAATGCATGATGAAGTATTAATATTTATGGGTGAAATTATTTAATAGCTATAACTTAGTTTCAGATAATTTAAAAAAAACAAAAAGTATGTATGTGTATAAACACAATGAAGAGAAAAGTAAGGAAGAATGTTAACAATTGATCTTGTACAGGAAGCTGGAGATGATCATTCTTACCTGAAGGATATGAATAAGACTTGCAGGTGTAGATTTTTTAGCATATCTGTTTTATAAAATCTATAGTGGTTACTCTAGGTGGGATTTAAAAATGTATTTGTGTGTGTATATGTGTATTTATATATAGATATAGAAAAATACATATTTGTCACATGCTACTTACAGCAACATTTTACTATTTTAGGTGGAGTGTACAAACCTTAACCACCATTCAGGTTCTTACCCTTCGCACTTCATGATACAGTTATCTTAATATTACCTTTCTGTACATTAAGCATCATATCAGACAGTGTTATAATTTTTTCTTTCGGTCATCAAATATAACTTTAAAAAGTCAAGAGGAAAAGAATAGGTTATTATATTTACCCAGAAATTTCAGCCTTTATTCCTGTCTCTAAGTTTCCTTCTGTTATGATTTCCTTTCTGTCCAAAGAAATTCTTTTAGCTCTTCTTTTAGACCAGGTCTTCTGGTGATAGATTTTCTTAGTTTTCCTCATCTGAAAATATTTTTATGAACTTACTTATGGCAAAAATTAAATAAAAAGCTGAACAAACAAAATCTAAAACAAAAAGACAAATGACAAACTAGGAAAAATTATATGAATCTCAGATCACAGACACAATGAACTTATTTCTAGGAAATGGAAATGGCTGTAAAAAGACCAACAACACAAAAGAAAAATAGGCATGAAGAATATTTGTTCATGAAGAATATTTTCTCTGGATATAGAATTCTGTAATAAGGCAAGAAAAAGTAATAACAGACATACAGATTAGAAAGGAAAAAGCAAAACTGTCTTTTTTTGCAGACAAAATGGCCATTTTATACCAAACTTGATAGCATCTACAAAGAAAGTACTAGAACTAATAAGTGACATTAGCAAGGTCATGGAATACAAAAATTAATTGTATTTCTATTGCAATGTATAATCAGAAACTGAAATACACTTATGATACAATTTATGTCAGCAGCAAAACTTAGAGAATACTTGGGGATAAATTTAATGAATAATGTGCCATATTGTAAACTGAAAAGTATAAAACATTGCTCAGAAAAAATAAAGATATAAATAGTGAGACAAAATATGCTTATTGATTAGGAGTCAGTATTTTTAAGATGCCATTTGTATTGCTTTTTCTGCCAACTGCTTGTTCATGCCTATTTTTCTTTTGTGTTGTTGGTCTTTTTACAGCCATTTCCATTTCCTAGAAATAAGTTCATTGTGTCTGTGATCTGAGATTCATATAATTTTTCCTAGTTTGTCATTTGTCTTTTGTTTAATTTTGTTGTGTCAGCTGTTTTATTTAATTTTGCATAGAGTTCATTTATTTTTTGTTTGTTTTGCGCGCTTTTTGGAGTTTGTCATGTGTATGAAGGCATTCATTAAGAGATTGCTCAGTTTTCTTTTTTTATTAATTGGAATATGTCGGGGTAAACGCTGTGTGGTTTGTAAATTGCCTTTGGTACCACCAAAGTCAGAGCTACAAGCGTGCCCATATCCCAGACAGTGCACACCACACCTGTTAGATGTGAGTGTACCCATTTCCTCCTCCCCCTTCCCACTCACCTAACACCGGATGACTGCTACTTGCATATATGTGCACATAAGTTTTGATGATTGTGACCAGTTGAATGGTGAGTACACGTGTTTGTTTTTCCATTCTTGTGTTACTTCACTTAGTAGAATGGGCTCCAGCTCCGTCCAGGATAATACGAGAGTTAGTTCGATCATTTCTTTTTATGGTTGAGTAGTACTCCATGGCATAATTATACCAACTTTGTATTCTTATCATCTTTGACAAGCGGCTATGAGTTGTATCCACATCTTGTAATGTGAGATGTGCTGCTATAAACATTGGTGCAGAGTTTTCTTAATGGACTGTCCTTTTTTTCCTTTGGTTAAAGCTACCTAGTAGGGATTGCTGATCAAATGGCGTCTCTTTTGTTTATTGTCTCTGGTATCTCCATTACTACTTTCCATAACGTTTTTACTAGTTTGCAATATCACGCATGTGTTGAGTGTTGCCATCTCTCTACATCACTCCACATGTTGTTTGTTGGATTGGATAAAGCCATTCATCCTGGAGAACAGTGATCTCGATTGTGGTTTTGATTTTGCCATTTCTCTGATGATTTAGGTGTTGAGCATTTTTTCATATGTTTTTTGCCCATTAGTCTTCTATTTGAAAGTTTCTGTTCACGTCTGTGCCACTTTTAATGGGTGGTGTTTGATTTTTTTCTTGCCATTTTTCTGTTTATATAGATTCTAGTTTTGCCCTTATTGGAGTATAGCATGCAGATATTTCCCAGCTTATAGTTGTAGTTTCTTTATGATAGTTTTTGGTATGCAGGAGCTGTTTTAATTTATCAGGTTCTTATTATTTTGTTGTTGCAGTGATTGCTTTTGGCCTTCTCATAATTCTTTGCTAGAGCCTGGTCTGTAAGAGTGTTTTTGAACTTTTTTTCTGAGAATTCTGATGGTTTCATGCCTGTAGGTTAAGTGTCTTGTGGTTGATTTGTTTGTGAGTGGGAGAGTTGTAGTCTATTTCAGTGGTGTCTGAGGTGAGTGTGATAGTCCAGTTTCCGCGACGGATGAGGTGGTGACAGTGTTGTGTTTCAGTGTATGTTTGTTGCGTGGTCAAGATGGATGGCAGATATGAAGAGTGGTGTGTGATGTGCTGTGCTCGGGCTGTTTCATTGTCGTAGTTCTCTGTCTTGTGCCACTACAATGGTGTTTTGGTTACTATAGCCTTGTAGTATAGCTTAAGGTCTGGTAGAATTGATGCCTACCAATTTGTTCTTTTTGCTTAAGGTTGCTTTTGCTATACGGGGTCTTCTCTGGTTCCATACGAAGTGTAGAATTATTTTTTCTAGATCTGTGAAAAATGATGTTGGTATTTTAATAGGGATTGGATTAAATCTGTAGATTGCTTTAGGTAGTATGGACATTTTAACAATATTGATTCTACTTATCTGTGCACGTGGTTGGTTTTCTATCCATTTATATCCTCTGCTATTTCCTTCCTCAGTGTTTTGTAGTTCTCCATGTAGAGGTATTTCACCTCATTAGTTAAATGTATTTCTAGGTGTTTTATTTTCTTTGTTGCTATTGTGAAAGGCATTGAGTCTTTGATTTGGTTCTTAGCTTGGCTGTTGTTGGTATATGTGAATGCTGCTGATTTATTACATCGATTTTGTAACCCGAGACTTTGCTGAATTTACTTGTCAATTCCAGTATCTCTTGGCAGAATCTTTGGGGTTTTCTAGATATAAGATCATACTGATAGTTTAACTTTTTCTGCCCCAATTTCAATACCCTTGATTTCCTTCTTTTGTCTGATTGCACTTTGTTCAATAACAAAGTGCAATGTTAGAGGGCAGCCATGTCTTGTTCCAATTCTAAGTGGGAATGCTTTCAGTTTTTCTCCATTCAGTATGATGTTAGCTGTGGGTTTGTCATATTTGGCTTTTACCATATTGAGATAAGTCCCCTCTATACCTATTTTGTTGAGTTCTTATCATAAAAGGGTGCTAAATTTTGTCGAATGCTTTTTCTGCATCTATAGAGGGGATCATAGGTTTTTGTTTTTACTTCTAT